GCGTAATCTCCCTGCTTCCCTCGAGGGTGGGAATGGCTGCGCGGCTGGCTGCTCCCTTCGGATTCCTGACTTCGGGGAGCCCTCGGCTGTGAGCTCGACCCTCCCAGATAACCCATTTCGCCCGGCGGGTTACAGCGGGAAGGGGAGGAAAAGCGCAGCTGGACGGGGGTGGGGCAGAGCCTGGAAACCTTCGGGAAAGCACAGGGACACGCTCGGGACACGGGCAGAAGGAGAAGACTCACTGGACTTGCCTGCCGGCCCTTCATCTCCAGAAAGATTCTGGGTGTTTTCTACCCTTTAAAGTCCTCAGCATCTAGGGTTTTGTAAGGAGCTCTCAGCTGGCTTCGCGCGTGTGTGCGTGTGCGTGTGCGTGTGTGTGTGTGTGTGTGTGTGGTGTGGCTGCGCGCGCCCAGCTGATGCTTTTGACTGTCTTTCATGCAACTGCCCAGAAGCGAACGCGTTAGCTCGGCGATGCCCCTCCAAAGCCCGGTTCTGGGCGAGCACGGAGGACGCCCAGCCCCGTTTCCCTTGCAGGATTCGCCGCGGCGGCCGGGCGGGGGAGCCTGGAGCGTGCATCCTTTCAGACCGGGGGTTGGCAGGAGCCAGAAGTAACCCGTTTCTAGGTGCACCGCAAGGTCACCACAGGGTCCTGCAGCCCTTCTCCGGCGGGGCCCATAGACCTTCGTGCGTGGACCCCACGGATATTTGCCTTTTGCTCCGCGGCATCTGAAGCCAAAAGTTCAGTCCTCTGAGCTGCTTTTCTGCACAAACGAGGTAACCCGGATTGCCTTGCGAACTGCTTAACGAAATCCCGGCTCCTCCTCAGTCGGTTCCCGGCTCCCTCCTCCCCACCAACATGTCACCAGCTCTTGAATTACACGGCTTCGGGTTGGAGGAGAACTTGAAGGAAGCGTGATCCAAAGGCTATGCCACCCCGCTCTCTGGGCTACCCGCCATCCGGTCTGGTGGGCTTCGGAACCCTGCGTGAGGCGGACCGGTCCCTCCCTGCTTCTTCTTCCCCGCGCGGAGCTGAGTGTGCGTGTGCAAGTGTGAGTGCGAGTACGCGCGCGCCCGGCTGTGAGAGTGTGAGTGTGTGAGAGCGCGAGCGAGTGTGTGTGTGTGTGCGTGTGTGTGTGTGTGTGTGCGCGCGTGTGTGCGTGCGCGGCCGCCTTGCCTCTGCCCGCTCCCCGGGCGCGGATCCGCGGGTTTCAAGGGGCGATCGCCGCGGATCCCCCACCCAGCGCGACCTACGGGCAGCGGCGGCAGTGGCAGAAGCCGCCTCTCCGACTCCCTAGGATGCGGGTGCTGAGCTATGGCAAAGGGCAGCGAAGTGACGAGCGAGACCCGCGAACGACTGTGAAAGCCACCTGGAGCCACCTTGCCGGGATTGTACCTGCGGGCAGAAAGTCCTCCTACGATCGCCTTTTCCCCTAGAGGCACCAGGTAAGAAGCAAAGGACTACCCGCCCGCCTCACCCAGTTTCCTTCTGATCGTGTTTCTGGTGTCTTATCTGCATTGCAGGCTGCTTTACTTATTAATGTTTTGAAAATTAGGAAGGGCTGGGTATCCTATGGTGCCTGCTCTCTGGTGTTGTAATATAATAATTTCTACTAGGAAGAATAGAGATCTATCCCTGAGCAGTTAATCTAGCAGTGTAAGCGAAGGGAATATGGTTACGCTCCACCCTAAACGATATTTTTTTTAATAACTAGGCGTGTTGAACCTTTATAAAGATGCCAGAGATTAAAATCCAGTGTTTCCTCCAGGCTGTTGTATCCAAGCCTCCTCATCTTGTGAGGGGCAAGAGGGGTGTTGCCTTCCACCTATCATTTCAGCTAAAGATCATTTGATCCTTCTCTACCTCTGGTGCGCGTTGTTTTCCTTCCCTTGTAGACGAACTGGACAGATCCTTTAGAAATCTTCAATTACATATTTCGAGACTTTGATCCGAAATGGAGTTTTCTTGGAACTTGCTTTGCATGGAAGGGGATTCATTGTCGCCGGTGTGTATGTTGAGAAATGGTGTAGTGCTCGGGTTTGCTTATATGTAACAGAATAAAACGACGAGAAGAGTCGTTTTTATATATCTAGGGAAAGAGGGCTAACAACATCCCTACCACCCAACACCATCCCAGCTGTATTGTCTCCCTTGCAGAGAGAGCATGTGTGAGTTCCCCCCCCACCCCCCACCCCCGCCAAATCTTTACATAGGATATATTCTGGAAAAACCCCGGGAGTACCTTCCTTAATTCACAAGGAGCCGGGTTGGATTTGCGACTCCTTAATAAACATGTTTGGTCTGATATTTAAAAATGGAGATCCCCAGAGCCAGCCGAGGCAACTTGCAAAGCCCCTTACTCTCTCACCTTATGTCTCTCCATTTGCTTCCCCCATCACCTCTGTATCTGTCCCCTACAGAACATTTCACTCGAGTCTCCAGGGCATTTAGGATTAACAAGATAAAGCACTTCCAAAGTAGTCTCATCAATGTTTCATTCCGTAGTGAAGACGATCTGAATAATTCAGCTAGGGAGAGCTCGTTTGTCCCTCTCGTCCCAGAGCTGCCTGCTGGCTGCACCGAACAGAGGACCTGGCCCAGCCGAGCGCCCGGCGCCGTGCGGCTGGAGGCGGTGACTCCGGCGGCTCCTGGGGATTTTCTTTGCTAAAGCCACCTGGGAAGAGCAGGGGCGCTGCCTTCCTCTGCTCTGCTCGCTGCGTTTCTATAGATATCCATATGATGGCATTTGCAGACTAGGAGCTGGTCGCTAGCTGCTGCTCTCGCTGTCGCTAGTAGCTGACGTTCCCAACTCCTCCTCTGGAGTTTAGGCTCGGTTGCTGCTGCAACACTCGCAGACTGGTGGTGCTACAAGGCCATGTATGCAGCGGATTTGGGGGCTGGGCTTTGCCACTGCAGCTGCCTGGCCGGCCTTGACACTTTGCTGAGGCTGGAGAGCACAGCGGCTCCCTGGCAGACAGCAGACGAATCATGGCCGAGGTGGCTGCCTGGATATAGTGGGGGGGTGGGGAGGGGTGGGGGAGTGGAAGGCGGTGGTGTCCTACCTGATTGCTCACAGTTACAAAATTCACGCCTTTTAAAAAAAAATTTATCCCTCCCACTTCTCCTCCCGAAGTGAATATTCAAGAACATAGGACACAATTTGACTAAATATCCAACGCAATGATTTATAATTTATTAGGACTCAAAACCTGAAGCTTAGTGTCTATTTTCTAGATTTCTAATCCTTCCTCTTTCTCACCCCGATGTCCACTTTCCTCGGCTTGATTTGATTGAGTTCTTTGCTACCTGGCTTTTACCTCCTTTCCGGAATAGCTAACTTATTCCCTTCTCCTAATGGGTTAGAACCATAGAAATTTTGGTTAGCAGCCGAGGGCTATCTATGATCATTGCACTCCATCCCATCCCAGAATTCCCATTGTTTGTTTAGAAAACTGAAGATAGATAACATACTAAAAATATAATGAAGGACGCCTCTTTGTCCCTTAAACCCACCCAGACTACTATTAGGAAAGAAAGTATGTATCAGACTCATAATATTTGCCTTGTGTGTCTACCTGTCTACCGTGTGCCCAAGACAAAAGGAAGAATGATGAAAGAATAATAAATTTGGGGGTTAAAAATATTTCTTCTCTCTCCTTCCTCTTTTCACTTCTTTCTGGCCATTCCCACAAAACATCGAATCCTTTATAGCTGAAGTCTTATCCTTGTGTCCTCATCCTGAGAAAAAGTAAAATAAATGCATTAACTTGATGTTGATAGCTCAGCAGACTCAACTTAGAATATGCTGTGATCCATGCTTTAAAATGCCATTCCTGGTGCAGATTAGACTTAGATTAAATGTGATACCAAACAGAGGTCCTGGTAGAGTAGATCTTCAACAAATGGGTGTTTCCCTCTTTCCCTCCTCTCTTCCCTGCAGTATAGAGATATTGCAAGTCAGCTTGAGACATGTGCCCTTGTTAAGGGTTGCCCCTATGTAGATTGAGCTGGCCTGGCTCTATGTATGACCTAGCTCACTGATGCATTAAGATGCTCAAGCAGTGGAGGAAATTTCCCAGCAAATGCCTCCTTCCTTTCCAGTGCTGGTTTTGTCTATCAAGAGGGGCCAAACAATAGGACAGTCAGAATCCTCATGGGAACAGAGATGAACAGATAGGCAGGTGGAAGAAGTCACTTGCTTCCTGTCTCCCAGACCATTTGATTCAGTCTCTTTCTTTCTTTCTTTGTTCAAGAGGAGAATGACCTTGAACACCAGTCTTCTGGTTTATATACCTCTTTTCTTCCTTCAAATATGTAACACACACAAACACACGAAACAAATATATATGAACACACACACATATTTCTTCTTAGTACCAACAGTGGTATCACAGGCTGATGTGAGGCAGAGGTAATTTCCTTTACTTTTTCTCGAAGGAGAAGAGTGAGAGCTATGTTTATATGAAAGAGAATTTCCTCTCTCTTACTCCCTCCTCCATTATTTTTGTCTCCTCTGTAATATGAATTCTTGGTATTAAAGCAGTATCTGGTCATGGCATTGATGCTATGGGCATCATGTGTTATATCTAGCTTTCATATTTTCATGAATGACCATTATCACCCTCTGTCCATGTAACCAGTGTTCTGTTTCGACTTGCTGTTGGAAGCACTTTTGGCTTGGTAGTTTTGCTGAGTTTTCTAGTTGGGGAAATTAGGATCTTGCTTTCTGCTGATACTATTGCTGTGCTGTTATGTGAATGGGATGCACTACTTGCAGATATCCAACAATGTTTTTGCCTCTCATAAAGCTGCTCTGTTATTTGAAGTGAAAAGTACAATAAATCAGATGCTTACAGTGTTTTTGAAAAAATTGAAATTGTAGTAAAAAGCAACATGAAATTTTCTAAATTTCCCAAAGGTTTGATGAGGTGAACTATTAACTCATTCTAGTTTTTTTTTTAATTTTGTGGTTTCTCATAAGTATAACTTAGTGGCATTAGTCTAAGTTTGCTTATAGTCTAATCAGTTCTAAGCTTTAAATGTCATTGAAAAATATGCAGACAAATTTAGGTGCTTTGGATATAATTGTGACCCCTTAGGATTCAGAACTAAGAGGTGACTTTGCTAAATTATCCCATTGAGACACATGCACCCAGCTCTGTTTTGTTCAAGAAACCTTGAGTATTTAGTATATTTCTACAGCCCACATTTCTATTCTTGTGGCATCCTTCAATCATTGAGGCTATTTAGATCCTAAGGCAGTATAATTTGCCCATTACATGGTATGTGCATGGTGAAATTAAGAAGTATTATGTTTATAATTATTGAAGCCATTATGGTCAATGTTGAACCATTTTTATTGTGCATTATCAACATACATTGCACGTAATTATGAAAATTTCAGCTTCATGTAACTGGAAACAGAAATATAAGAATTCAACTCATAAGCAGTTAATGCTACTTTTAAGCTTTTACATTATAGTGTTCTGTTAGATACTGTTCTGATGGAATGTGTTTCACTGATCTATGACATAATTTAATGCTATTTATGAGGATGGTTAACAAGTGATCAAAAATTACAATGGATTATGTAGTTATATAAATGCATTACATTTTATTGATACTAAGTATACCACATGAAAAGGCTTTATTATTGAAACTAGAAACTGAATCTGCAAGGTTTCTCACTAGTTGACTTTGATAACTGATAGTTGTTAACTTTCATCCTCATAATTGGAAGAAAATGCCACTTGATCAATTTGGGTCTTCTTAGGATATATATCTTTTTATAAAATAAATCTTTCATATCTTAAAATTCCTGTTATTTTTATTGCTTATACATTGTAGGAGCATAGATATAATTTATTGTTTAAAAAATTTCCAATAAAATATCTTGAAATTGGTTTCATTATGCTCTGTAATGAACAATTGCAGATTTTCTATTGGAAATTTAATGTTTTAGGTATTACAACAAAACAAGCTCAAGAAAAAGAGTAATAAGATAAACAATTAGTTTCATGTTCCTTTTCTCTAGAAGATGATTCTGATTTCTTTTAAAGAAGTATCAAAGAAGTCTCTAATTTGTTCAATACTCAATCACAAATAGTATATTTAATCAGCAACAGAAACCATAATAATGCTGTTTATCTTAAGCTATTTTCTTTTCACTCAGTGCAGCTATTTTGAGGACATTTTGAAGAGCCCTTAAGGACACTCTTCAGTTACGCTCTGGGGTACATTCCCATGTTGGCTTCTCATTTACTGTCGAGAAGTAGCTTTTTCATGGGTATCAGTGCTGTTACCTCCAAAGTTGCATAGCATTGGTTTAAAATAATTTACTATTGGAGACATACCAACTCTGTAACCACAAAAGCAAAATCTCTTTTATTTATAATTACAGACTTTGGTGTTTTTATCATGAATTAGCTCTTTTTGTTATTGTTTC